GGGGGGGGGGGGGGGGGTTGGGCAAAAAAGAATTATAGTAAGAAATTGGAAAAGCAATAGTATTCCAGATGTCAAGGAACTGTTGTCAGAAATGTGTAATCTACCTGTTTTGGAAAAAGCAGTATTTTCTATTACTCAAAGATTGTAGCAATATGTGTTACTATGGCAGAGATTCTGTGGTATCTTATGACAATACCTTGCGCTGTTTGTATTACAGTAGTGAATTCATTGGTAAACCAGTGACTATGATGAGAATAAAATATTAGATTTTTTTTCTTTTCCATCTTAGTCCATATTTTTTGTTTGTACTTTTAATTGTTTTAAGTTTCTTTCTTTCTTTCTTTCTTTCTTTTTTTTTTTTTAACATTAAACACTGTTTCATTACCAAAAAAGTTAAATAAAAAGGAGGGCAGCCTTCCACCCCTTTCCTATGTACATCATGCCATACCATGCCCTCCCCCCTTTATGAGATGTCTCCTTTGAAAATAAAGGCACAGTAGCTTTCTGCTCAAAACCAGAGAGGTCAAGGCAATAACTGGAACATGAATGCGAGGACTGACTTACCATTCTGTAATCTCAGGATGGAGAATTGTATTGTTTACCATAAACCTACAGGGGAAAAAAGAGGGGGGCATAAAATAAATATGAGAGAAATAAATGGAGAAATAAAAGTTATATCAGTGGCTCATCTGGAATTTATTTCTAAGCAGGAATTCATACAAAACTTGATCTAAACTATAACACTGGTTTCAAAATATGTACAGTAACTGCCAGGGATTGGCTAGGCCCTCAAATAAATCCCCCTTCCCAGAATTATTTACACTGTTAGGGATACAAGGCAAGAGAAGAGAGAACCTGAAGGCGTTGCACAGGATTCCATTAAAGGCTGTTGCACAGAGAGGACTATCATGCCCCCTCCCCCAGCATCGTTCCTGCTGCTACAAAAAGCTAGACTCAAGCCAGGGAATTCTGTTGGCAAGCTTTCTTCTGACGGCTTCCAAAAGTAAAAATAACAACTGGTAGCTGGACACACAAGGAATTTACAGAGCAAACTAGGAGACTTTCACATCACGGCTACCCTGGTAGGTATGACAGGTTGCAACACAAAATAGACATTTACCAGAAGTCAGATGGGTGAGGTAGCCGCCCACCACTCCCATCAGCTCTGAGAACACCTATTATTGCTCTGTTGGGAACAGGTGGGTATTTTCCGAAACAAAGGATGGGGGTGTGTCTTCCCCCATCGACTCTTCCTTTCCAAGGCTGCTATGGGACCCATGTGAGGCTCAGAGGCACCCCTTACCAAGAAATACAGCACTAGAGGCCAGTCCATTCTCTGTTTGGTGGCATGCTAATTTTCCCATTCTTTTTTCAACTGAAGAACCTAAGATGCATAATGGAAAGAGTAGGAGGCCTGGCACAGATGCTCAGGGAATTGTCCAGGGAAATCAGTTTCCTCTGCAAGATTTCGCAGCAGAACAGTGGGAGAATTTGGGTGAGATGTTCAAGCATTTAAGAACTCTAGGTAGTGTAAGCATTTAGGCAGGTCGGTGTAATGCCTTCAGTTCAAATGGGATGCGGTCTCAGTTCAATACAGTTAATATTATTGCTCACTGGTTTAATAATCTTTCCTTTCTGTCACACTAAAAATAATTTTGTGACAGCTTTCAGAGAGACCTTGAGAGATCAGGGCCTTTGAGCTATGCACTCCTGCCTGAAGGAGGAGCGTATAAATCCATTCTGAAGCTCCTCATGAGAAACTTATATACAGATTAGGAAGCCACAGTACAGACAGAACATGGCAAAACAGACTGGCTCCAAGTTGGCAAAGAAGTGAGACAAGGCTGCATACCTACATGCCGAATATATATTAAAAGAAACTGGATTGGAAGATGAGAGTAGTTTTAAAATTGGAGGAAGAAACATCAATAACCTGCGCTATGCTGATGACACTACCCTGATAGCTGAAAATGCAAAGGATTTGCAAGCCCTAGTACTAAAAGTCAGAATACAGTGAAAAAATGGGACTAAAATGAAATATAGAGAAAACCAAACTAATGACAACAGGTAGAAAACCACCCTTAGAATTGACAATGAAGATATCAAAGTGGTGGATAGCTTCTGCCTTTTAGGATCAACCATCAATAGTAAAGGAACAAGCAGTCAAGAAATATGCCAGGGACTAGCACTTGATAGAGCAGCCATGAGGGCCTTAGAAAAGTTATTCAATGCCATGATGTACATGATGAGGACATGTAGTCCTCAGCTTATGATGGCAATTGGAACCAGAACTTCAGTCGCTAAGCAATGCAGTTATAAAGCACAACCACATCGCTTAGTGACGGCAATCCCTGGAGTCCCCGTTGCCATTGTTAACTGAATCCCATGGTTGCTAAGCAAGGCAACTTCCTACCAGCTTCCCACAACCAAGTCAGTGGGGAAGCCAGCAGGAAGTTGCAAGTCCCAGGTGGTTCACAAGAAGGCTGGCAGGCAGGTAAGTGGCTGCTGCCAGGTGGGGGAGGGCATGAGGGAGGCACTGCAAGGGTACGAGGGAGGCACGGCAAGGGTTGGGGAGGGTGCATGGGGGTGAACTTTGGTGTTGGAGAAGACTCCCGAGAATACTGTGGACAGCCAAGAAAACAAACCAATGGATCACTGAACAAATCAACCCAGAGTTCTCACTCGAGGCACAAATGACCTTAAATGACTTATCCTACTTTGGACACATTATGCGAAGACCTAGCAGCTGTCTTGAAAAGTCTATAATGCTGGGAAAGGTGGAAGGATAGAGAAGAAGAGGATGACCAGCATCAAGATGGAAAGAACAGTCTAGGGATAGATCATCATGGAGAAAATCTATCTATGTGGTTGCTAGGAGCTGAAAATGACTTGATGGCACATAATCAATGTAAAAATCAATCCAGGTTGAAGCTGGTGCAGATACAAGGACTCATGTTTAGATGTGCAGAAGGAAGAGAATGAACACCTGATCTTTGGTCTATTATCTAAGAAAGTGTTATATTTCTTCTGGATCGCAGGATGATGGGGCTTGAGAGATGCAAGAGGAGAGAAAGGCTGAACAATAACGAACAGTAATGCACAGGTGATATCCCTTTCTCAACAGAAATGAAAGGGAATTCCTGTAATGCCAGAAAAGCTCAGTTGCAAATCAATATCTGCAAGAATGTCAGCTAAGAGATTAACTACTTCTGGTGGCATTCAACATCTAAGGCTTTCTTAGACAGCTGCAAGACCTTTCATGACCAGGCAGCAGAAATATATTTAATTACTATGATCTCTGCTCCATGCATAGGCTCAATCCTACAAGTTTTGCAAACATACCACCAGTGCTTAAGAGGTGGTATCCAATTTCAAGATGAGAGCCAGATCTGCCCAGCCCTGCTCTCAACATGCCTCTGAAGGGGAATAAAATTGAGTAATTTTAGCCAATAATCACTTCAGCTCCTCACAGTCATGCAGAAGTCAGTCACCACAGGGTGACAAAAAGAAGCGAATCTAATGAGATTTGCCTTCTTTGGACATCAAGGAAACCTTTTTTGCAAGGGCTTAAGGCTGTTATATTCCCGGCAAATAAAAAGATACAGTTTAGCACAAAGGCAAAAAAAAAAAAAAGAAAAAAAAAAAAAAAGAAAAAAAAAAAAAAAGAAAAAAAAAAAAAAAGAAAAAAAAAAAAAAAGAAAAAAAAAAAAAAAGAAAAAAAAAAAAAAAGATGATGCAAAGGAGAATTAAACATAAAGGCAACCAGCCACACAGCACACTGATGAGAAAAATGATACGTTGAACAATACTGAGCAAAAAGGTGGATCTTTGTTTTGACTACAAGCATCCCACCACATTCCTAACAACTGGCAGAGGAAGGCTTGCAACGAAGGCCAAGAAGAGCAGGAAATAATTGCAGAATTGAGATCAATATGGAAAACAGAGCATTTGAAGAGTTCACTGGGAGAATAGCCCATCTGGGAGTGAAAATGATGGAAAACAGCCATGGCCCTTCAGCCAGCAGGCTCTCTTGTTGAAGGGAAAGTCAGGAAGCATTTAGATGACCGTGCAGGTCGGAGAAAAACACAAGACACAGAGCAAACGCCAGACTACCACCTTCAGCTTCAATCTTGGAGTTGTAGTAATGTTTCCATCATTCCTGCAAGACGGAGAAAGGCTCCTTTTCTGCAGTGCTGACAAAAGGTAGGCCACCAGAGCCCCTTCCCGGTGGAGGACAGGATTTTTTCACCAGTGGGGTCTCATTTGTGACATGACTCATGTGTGCAGTCTCTAGGCCACCAAAAAAGGGTGCTAGAGTCTGGAAGGGGTGTTTCCCCCAACATCCCACCTCAGGACACTAGCAATCTGGGCACCTTGTTGGGCATCAGAGAGGCAGGGCTCCACCCTGGCAATCTTGTGGCTCCAATTGGTTTCCCTCCTCACTCCTCTTCTGGCTGTAGGGGAAACCAGCACTCCAGCTTCCACAGCCAGTTTTTCTGTCTTTTTTAAAAGAGTAGGTTGACTCACATCCAGAGAGTGAGAGGCCTTGAGACTGACTACCCCAACATTACAGGTTGAACACATGTAACTGAAAGTGTAACTGAAAGGATTCAGCTGTTACATCTCTGAATTCCCTTACCAAGTGGCCACTGCCCCCAAAGAGGCCATTGCACCACACCTGCCTCTTCATCTTATGTTCCTGGGGTAGTTTATAGCTCCCACACCAATCTCCAGTTAAACCCTTTTCTCAAACTCCAGCTCTTCAGCAGTACTTATCTGCTAGCTGCAAACATCTAAATGACCACTGGATGGCAGCTAAGATGCACAAAAATTCCCAAACTTTGGTTGCCACCTAGTAGTGAATAGGTCAAGCAGTCAACCCACAGTTTCAAGAATTAAAAAAAGCTCAGTGATAGAACTGATGTGGGGGATGCAACACACGGGGTAACCAAAGCATTGTGCATGCCAACTGGAGGAGGCTTTTCATGTGCTGGATGGCATTAGATGGGGCTGGAATTTCAGCCTGAGGGAACTGCCAATCACAGCCCTTACAAATTACAAGAAGACAGTCCCAACACAGAGGGGCACAACCCACTCCCAGTCTTCTACAAAGCAAGCAAGTCTCCTTCCAAAGGAATGAAAGATGGAAACAATCTCTGCCTGCTGAGGTTCTCCAAGGTCTCAACCATCTGCAGAAGTAGCATATTAAGTTATCCTGAATAATCCAGAAGGATGACTCCTATAATTTCAAAAATGCAGACATTCTAGAGAAAAAGAAATCATGTTTCACAAAATGCAGTATTTATAAAATACATTAAAAGAATGTACTGAATGACTGAGTGATCCATAATAACTAAGGATGGAAAGGTTGGTTTATTACAGTTTGGCCCGTATATTATTTTTCTAACCTTAATCTAATTTTTCCTTTTCCAGATTGATCTGTGAATTATCTGCATGTACTGGCATGTATTTTGGCTAATCCCTGCTTTATTGGCTATATTTAATGTCTTTCTATATATACTGTACATTTCACTAACACGTATATCCTTGATGCATTTTCCCCTAATTCTTAGATTTTTATACAAATCATTCATGTAGTTTGAGAATCAACTGCAACATTAAGTGTGTCTTAGTTTGCATAGGAGTTTGGGAAATGCAAATCAGGTCATAACAAAATGCAAAACACCCCTCCAAAAAAATTCTATTCCATCTTCAATGACTGGAATAAAGATAATATACAGATATTATCTCTATATATTATAGATAATATATAATATTATCTCATATATATATATTATCTCATATATATATATAAAAAAAAAAAAGATATTGCCATTAAGTTCCTCCAAATAGAGAAGGAGCAATGGTTTCCCTTTAAAAAAAAATGTACATCAGCCTTTGTTATTTCTTTTAAGTACAGATCTGTGAGCAGCTGCTCACATGTAGATCACCCACAAGATTCCTTACAGATGCAGAAACTGAGAACAGACTGGGAAGGTTTTCCCCTGTAGCTCAATTAGGTACAAGCACTCTGTATCAGAACCCCACCCCCTACCCCTATGTGGACAAAGAATCAGGAGACTGGCCATCAGCCAAGGAGATAGTGCCAAGAGGTTGGAGGAAATCTAGTGAAATATTGAGGATGTGAATCCTGACATGTGAGAAGCTGCAAGCTGTTCTGCATGACATCAAGGGGGTTCTTTTGCTGACAGGAGGCACAAATGATCCGCAGCTGTCAAAAGGCAACAGGAAGATCATTTGATGCCCCATGGTTAGAACGCAAGTAGGCCTCTGCAAATCCAAGGAGACAAAGCTGCCAGAGCAACTGGAAATCTCTTTGCAAGAAGCAAGGAAGGCAGAAGAGCCCCAAATAAAGCCATAGTGTTCCAAGCATATTTGGCAGGGCAGGGCAGGGCAGGGCAGGGCAGGGCAGGGCAGGGCAGGGCAGGGGGGAAAGCAGTTGTC